ATCAAAATGTTTACTTATCTTCCAAGAGAGGCAGAGTTGTGCAAAGCAACACTAAGCCTTCTGGTGACAAAACCAGGAAGATTTTCCCAGGGCAGACATGTTAAAGAAAGCCTTAGAACAGCCTTTCAACAGGGTGATTTGGGCTAAGGTGCCCATTAGCTGCAAAGTCAGAGCTGAGATGGTGCTGCACCAGCAAAGGCTGCAACAACAGAGGTAAAGAAAGCAAAAGTTCTTCAAGTCTTGTGTTCACCACTGCCTATCTTGAGGTAACCCTTAAATAATATTCTAATCCTCTTTGCATTCACACACAAACCTCTGTGACTTAAACTACACATACTGTAAACTCAAGTTTTTTGGCTTAATGAAGCACCAGGGTTGCTAATGGACAGGATACCAGTGGCTATGCTATAAGCTACAGATTTAATTAGATCTTCCATTGAATAATTTATCTGTATTTCACGAGAGCAATTTGATTATAAATACTGCTGCTCTGAGAGCCATTTACCACCTTCTGAAAACTCTCAGACATAAAGAATAAGACGCTTTAAACAAACAAACAAAAAAATCTGCTATTCTGTTACATTTCAAATTTCAGCCATCCTTGATATTTCCTGTGAATAACAGAAGGGTTCAGTTAAGCAGCAGTTAGGATGTAACATACTATATAGGTACATTTTATTCAGAGGTTTGCTACGTATAAAAATCAGACTGAGTAGCTTATATGACCAGTCATAAGAACACCAAGTTGAAACTTTAAGGACATGTAAGTAAGAATCAAAAAGGGGATCTGAACAAGTACATTATTTTTATTAAAGCTAAAACATTACTCACACTATTAAAACAAAAACCAAACCACTCTTCTCAGAAATTAAAGGAAAACACATTCAATATTTGAAATATTTGAAAACTTCAGGTTATGTGAAAGAACAAAAATAAATTTGTTAAAGTATTTTTTCCTAATCCAGCAACAGCGCAAACTCAGTTCCTCCCAGGATAAGACCCCAGTTCTTCCCCCCACCCCGTGCATCATCACCACTTGAGCAGGGCAGTAGAAGAATCCCCAAAGGGGGAAAAGAAAAAAATCTGGAACAGGGCTAAATCAGAGCTGGTAACCAACAACCACTGTCCCTGCCCCTCTGCTGAGGCAGCCACTACAGTGACACTCTAGAAAGGCAAATAAAACCAGGAAGTGCAGAGCAGCACACAGAGTTCATTTAATCACAGCTGCAAAATGCAAAAGGTACAAAAATGACATGGTTTGACACAGGCCAAACTGGTTCCTCAAGTACCCTTCAACACCATAAGTGTGGAAAACACACCTCACTACAGGATACATCTCTTACCCCCAAAGAAAAACAATGCAAATGAAATAAAATCCTCCTTTTTCTCGTAAGTATACACAATTATAATTAATTACAAGCTCTAAAACCAAGCTGTGTGCAGGGCAGCTTGGATAAGCTATTTTGTATAGTTTATTGTTCATTATTAGATGGAAAGAGCTGTAGAGGCAATTTCAAGCCAAGGGAATAATCTAGCACTGGCAATGCAATGGGATTGTCTACATCTAAATGTTACATGTCTGAGTGAAGCTAGGGATGTAGGTTGTCTTTGTGCTGAGCATCGGAGAGAGAAACTTCTGTCTTAAAACATGATGTGATGACTGGATACACTGTCCTCCAGAGATGTGGGTCTCATCACTGCAAAAGCAACTACACCCTTCTCTGACTGGCTGTAGATGACTGGCTTCAATCAACTTCCTTCCTTTCTTATGGTAAAAGGAAAGTGTTCATTAGTTGCTTTGTTTTGTGTTTTTTTAATTACAAAAGCCAACAAAAATACTATTTCTCCTTGAATGAATCTATAATGTCTCCCCTGGAGTTTGCTTTATCTTTGTGTAACACTGCTGAAATCAGACTCAGCAACATCCTGAAGTGACACCCACGATGGGGGAAAAAAAAAAAAATAAAAAAATAGTTCCTTTTTATCCTTAGAAAACTTTGAATTATGTCTATGCTAATTTCTGAGGATGAAAGACCGTATCAGCATCTTTAAGTATAATGCACGCAGGTAAAATAAATTTCTCCAGGACAAAGTCACTGGATCAGAATGCAAACAAGCAGAAAACTTCAAACTTTTCTAAAAGTTAATCTGAAAGGAAAAGCTATAAGAACTTTAACAATATCCTGCTTTCCCAGGAGATTCAGGAAGGATGCTAGAATATGTGATTATGGACCAAATTTCAGGGCAGCAATCACAGTAACACAATGATGCACATAATGTAACTATAGAGAAGCACATAACGTAACTATGTAGAACTGTTACCGTAAGGGTTCAGGGCTTTTTGTTTGCTTGTTTGGAGTTTGGGAGAAGAGAATGAAAAATTGTTCAGCTGAAATGGAGCCAGGGAATATAATTATGTAATACTTAGTAATCAGCATGGAGAATTATTATTTGATCAGGAAAGTACAAAATGGACTACTCTTTTTGAACAGAACTTACTAATATTGTTGAAGTGGAAGAAATTACATTTATTTAGAGGAATGCAAAAAAAGCTCAAGGACTAGCTCAGCTTTGTTTGTAGTTTAAATAACGTGTTATTTTAATGTCCTTTCTCATGTAAGATTTAAGAGATCATAATTTGAGATAGAAGTCGGAAGTCTGTGGCCTGACCATCAAGGTAAACGTATATAAATGCTATTAAGTCCAAAATGGAGCACAATAGCATTACAGTGCATCACAGTGACTGTACTGTAATTTGTGGAAAAACAAGCTGTGATTATATTTATTTCTGGATGCACAATACTTACATCAGTATTGTACATCAGGGCCAAAATCTAGGTCACTAAAAGCTTTTTGCATCATATGATAACAACCAGAGTCTTTAAGATCCTCTCCACTAACATTAATAAGCTTCACCTCAGGCCTTAAATAGAAAGCATGAGCTTGTTGTAGGGAAGAAGTAAGGAAAAAACATTGGTGCATATTTGAAAGAAGAACAACACTTAAGAAAAAATAACATGACCAATTAAGTTCTGCAAAGAGAGAGCAATCTGAAATGTAGATGCTGTACAAGAAACAGGGCAGGAGAAAGAGATGGGAGGTAGAATAGAAGAGATAGTCACATAAATGTGTTTGAGCAGCTCAGCAAGATCCTGCCATAGTTCTCTTCCCCTGGACAGGTTGTATCAGTCAAAGTACGAGCTCCATTAAAAAAAACAAAATCCACTTTTTTATGAAAGAATAAAAAATATATTCTTCTGTAAAGTAGGTATCAGAATTGGAGAGTCTTTTAAATTGGCACTGCAGGCAAAAATACTTGGAAGAAAAATACATTAAAAAAAAACATTAGAACTTAACATAGTTAACAATTTGAAAACAAAATACGGAAAATTATTCCGCTTGGGCCTTCACCTGTAAAAATTATAATGAAATTACACTAATACCAAACTCTAAGACTGCTGTGACTGGACAAATAAGCTACAGACTAGAAAAGTTAAAACTTCTTGCAAAAACATCATTTCATATTTTCATACAAATCCTAATAACTCCTCAGCAGTTTGAAAGATCATTATTTCTTGACTCAGTTTCTATTTTGCTTTGACTTTTTATGCTGTGCATGCCAGCTCCTTAGCTAACAAAAAGCTGCCCTGTGCACTTTGGTCTACTGCTGATGTTTTGGCTGGCAAATATTATGCTACAATCCCACAGAATATTCAAGGTTTTATCACATGCTGTTTTATTTAAAGCAGGGCAAAGGCAAAGACTGGAAGTGCTAGTATCAGTTCATTTTTAGGAACTTAAATTCCTCAATGCAGTTATACTGCTATATTAAATATTTAATATTTAAATATTAAGCTAGGAAATTGGCAAAGTGCTTCACTGTACGTAACTCCCAGACAAGTATCAACAATAAGTACAGGCATTTTACCTTAAAAAACTAAACAAACATTGTTTTAGCAACATAAGCAACAACTGTAATAAAAGCAGACAATGCAAACACCACTTACAGGCTCCCATATCAATTATTTAAATAGAGGACATGCATCTAAAATTTGCAGTTATTTCTTTCAGAAGTATTAATTCCAGATTTTCAAGGAAGACAATGATTTCACATCTAGATATTTGCAAAAGGAAAATAAAGCCTGTTTCCAAGACAACCACATTAGTTTCCAGACTACTGGATACCAAGAACATGAAAAGATTATATATCCCAGATGATGACACCTGAAAAAACTTTCCACACGTTCTTCTACTCAATTTATACCTAATGAAGCACTTCAAGTGTCCAAAAGAGACTCAGTATTATTTTTCTATTACTCACATTCCTATATGCTCATTAGAGCCAAACCCTTAAACTAATACAGGAACAAAGAAAACCTCAAGTATAAACAAAAATTAATCTGCTAACAGGCATCTTGCATTGATTTCCCTGACACCAGAAATAACCTCTCTACTGAGGGTGCACCGAATTTCTTGCTTTAATAGAACTGTAAAAGAACAATGTGATTGAATTAATTTAGTAAAAAGTCATGGGCCATATTTAATAAACAGACCAGAAGGTCATTAGTGTAAAAGTCAGATCCATCCATTAGGACAAACAGGCAGAAAGTCCCCTAGTTTTAAGTCAACATATTCTACGTTACCTGTTCCAATGCAATACATGGGATACTAATTTAGCAAAGCAAATCTGGCAACAGAAAATATAGAGTTGGCTGACATTCTTGGCCACTCTTACCAAGTTCCCTCTAGCAGCAGAGGAAAGAGACAAGCCCTCCCTAGATGCTTGTGGAGGCATCTAAAACAGACAAGCAAGGGGTCATTAAAGTTTCTCTACCTGCTTCTTCAACATAGCATGAACATTTTGAGGTTTCTCTTCACAGAGCGCTACCTAGGAGACTGGCAATTAATAGAAGAAAGCAGGTGGACTTGTATGATTTCAAAAAGTAGAACTACTGCCAATGGCAAACACAGGTGAATTCTTATTTAAGGGTGCTACTTACCGAAGTATGATGTTCAGTCTGGTACTTTTGAAAGTCCTACTCTATAGAATTAACTCGGTGTATCTGACCACAGTCATTTGGTTACCATTCAGTACTTCTTGCTGTTAAACAGCAGCAATAGGGCACCTCTATGAAAATGAATGCATATTGATGTAACTGACATTTTCCTTAAGACAGCTAACAACATGCTGGTTTATATTTGCAAACTCGCTACATGGAAAGAAGACTTATTACTGCAATTAACTTCATAGTACTTAATAAAAAGCAAAAAAGATTAATTCATTAGTCTTTGTGCTAGATGCAGTGCAAATTTTTAAAGTTCTTGTTGCTACAGCAAAAGATGCTAAACGACATTCAGGTTTTAATCCACACCATACCTCTGTCAAGTTAAGTCCGTAATAAAAATTGTTTAAAAGTCTCCCATATTCTCCAAGCAATGGAACAAATCACAGCATTTTTTTTTCTTTAGTTTTATCTTAAAAGTACAACAGAAAGTTCCTTACTCTTTTTTGTTTTCCTAAAAATAGTGAGATGACATGTACACAGCTAGAAAGCCCTCTGATACAATAGTGCCCTCTGATACAACAGTGCAGACAAAAAAAAGCCAGAGAAATTAAAAGTTCCCATTCTAAACATAATTCTAAAATTGTGTTGATATTTTAGCAATTTCTTAAGGTTAAACACTCTAAAGCCTACAAATCTACATATCTTACCAAGGTTTTTTAACGTGCAGTTTTTCAGACAATCTGAACTACTTCAGAATTAGCCACAGAAGTTAACTGAAGAAAACAAATGTGTCATCAGTATCTTCAAGAGTTGCTATAAAGGAGCATGCACCTCTACTGATTACATCAGAGCCCCAAAATCTGAAAAAGCCAAAAACTTCTGTAATCACCTGCAAGTTGCTGTCTCTTTATGCCTTTATCCAACGGCTCTGGCATTTAAGGGGATTTTGATAGCGTCTCTCCCAACACAGCAAGCAGGGCTGGGCTATCACAAAAGACTGGAGGGATTAAGTACAAAAGGAAAAAAGGAAAATTCACTGATCTGCAGAGCAATTTTCAAAATTCAGTAAAGTACTGTAGAGACACCTAATTTGAAAGAACTTCTGGAAAACTCCATAAAATATTCTGAACTGTTCTTTGAGAGATAAAGCACATACCTAATTCAAGCCTGAACATGTTCTTCTGTATTCTCTATACAACAAATACTTCAAAATTAACTCACCTAAATCTTGTTCCACGCCTTTTTTTTTTTTTCTGATGTTGCAGGAGGCTTTCCAACTATTAAGGGGGTCTTTCTTTGAATTAGAAAATGACAGAGAAAACAGGGTATGGCAGTAATAAGGGATGGAAATCAAGTAAGTCAGGAAGCTTAGAGTTCTACATAATTCATTCTGAAATGAACATTCAATTAACAGAAACTTAAGCTTTTGCAACAAAAATCCAGACTGACTACTTATTCCAAGAAATTCTCACCCACCTAGCATGTCTCCTTTGTGCAAGCACAAGCTGTCTGGCCCCAAGCAAAAATGCATGTTTAACTGGAACAACAGTTAATTTACCTCCATGATTTAAAGGAAAGCATCACAAAAAAAAAAAAAATAACATGAAAACACCAGAGCCAGGAAAATATCAAGGCAACCTTTCAGAAACAGAAATGCACCACATCAAGATTAGTCAAGTGGGCTTAGCCCTGTGCTCTGGCTGTCAGTATCCCAGGTGCTTTCACAGCTGAGTACTGCAGTCTTCAGCTACGGGTAAAGCATTAACAATTAGAGCAGAAGCAGCCTGCCTGTAGAAAAGGTATCAAATGGAAAGTGTAGTATATTGGTTCTACTTGGGTATCACCCCCAATATAAACTACTTCTGCTCTAAGTGGTACCATTTAATCATTTTGGTATGATACATCTGCATCCGCTCAGATGCTCTCTCCACACTAATGCAATGATACTTTTATCATTAGTGTCAAACTCCTGCACTGTTTATACTGTACTCAGAAACAAGGCCTTTCTCTTCTGACACACAGCTTTCAAACTGATTATATAGTAAGCTCCAGAAAAATCTCGGCATGCCATCCACTGATGACACGAATAAATAGGTTGCCTCAAGGTGTCTGTCAGTCAGAAAAAACTACAACAATTCAAGAGGTTTCATTTGTGTTTCAAGACTTTCCAACATTAAGGAATGATCTCAATTTACATTTGCATAGCTTTAGAATTACTCTGGACTAGTTTAAAGCAAAGCAACACAATGCTATGAGAACAATAAAAACTTGAACTATTTTTGAGGTGTTTATACATTTTAATGAACGTTGCTTGCTAGCCAAGAAAAATACGGAAAACAAAGTCTTGGGTACATCTGCCCACAAGTAGTTATGTGAGAATCAGGATGACTTCTTGTCTCACTCTCCACTCTAAAGAGGGCTTTTAGAGCTACCTGCTTAAGGTAAACTCCCAAATTAAGCGACTCTCCTTTTTAATTAGCACAGGATTCACTGTAGAGTTAGGACAAGACAGTAAACATGAAAAAACTCTCAAATAAGTTGGCTGGAAACACCAGCAGAATTATCTTGAATAACATTTACATTACCTACCACCCAGCCATGCTTCTCCTTGAACCACACTGATGGTAAATTGCAAGGTTTTCATGAGCAGAGGTTTATTTCACTCCTAAAGGGGGGGTGGATATTAGCATGCTTTGCTGCCCTGCAGACTGTTTCATGTGCCTTTGGAAAAAAAAAAAATCTGGCTAAATAGCAAATAAAATAATAACCATAATCCTCCTCCTCCTAGTAGTGTCAACCCCCATGCATTTGTGAAGCCACCAGTCCAGGGGAGAGCTTAGACTAGTCAACAATACATCTGTTCACTGATTATCCATGTCACGAAGATGCAGCAAGTGAGCACAACACACAGATGCAGCAGGCCACAGCTCTGAGCACTGGCCCTGCAGAGAAAGGCATCAGGTTGCAAGGGTTGCTCTACCATTCCAGCACATGCTCCATTCCTATCATAGAAAAGATGGGCAGACTAGAATAAACAAGTGTTTATGGCAAAAACCACTTGCGGGCAGCTCACCTAACTTCCCCTGTGGGTGAAACATTGCAGACAGCTGCCTGGGCTGGTGTCAGGGCCATGGCCAGGCATCACCCTGGTGTTCTGACCATACTGTGCTTCCCAGCTCACGCCAGCTCCCTGTGGGCCTCTGACCTGCAGGAACATGTACTAAGGTAAACTCAACCATTAAATCCACTTGCTGTTACTATAGTGCAGGACTAGCCTTTACTATTGATCACTGCTCTAGAAAATCAGAAAAAAAAAGTAAGTTATCTTCTCTATGTCAAAACATTGTTTTAACATTAATTTTCGATTTCTTAAAAGGAGAACACTAAAAACAAGACCGTACACCAATGAAGGTGGGTGGAGGCAAAGGGATCATTTGTATTCTACTGTGTTTATTTACAAGAAACATGCAACAAATCTCATCTTCACTCAACTGATTGCGATATCCGCTAGAGCAATGATTTACAAATAACAGCTTTGAAAAAACATCTTCTGTTGCAGAACCCAGCTTAGTAATGCTTTATTTCAGCGAGCGGGTGAAGAACTTCCCTGGAAAAGTTCTGCCACAATTGCTGTCAAAATTATCACACCTATTTGAAGTATCCTTAGGATCCTACCTTCCCTCAAAAATGCTGCCTACAAGAAATTCAATCACAAGTGAAAACAAACAGGAAAGTTCCATTACTCAAGAAAAAGTAAACCTTTGGCAAGTAACTTGGTAACTTGCCAGTGATAGATGCATTACTGTACCAAAAGCTTTAATCAACAAATGGAATATGCTAAATAGTACAAAGAGTCATGAGAACTTAAACTCGCAAAACGGAACTGAACATCTGAAGGTGCAAAAAAAAAAAGACAAAGCCAAATAAAAACAAATTCAGTGCTCGATCGCACTGCAATTAAATCCATTACACACTTTTGCATGCTTTCTGCTAGAATAAACAAATTCAAATAAAGAACTGTTGGATATCAATCTAGCTAATGCATCCTAAAATTGTAATGCCATGGAAGAGTGGAACTAAGTCTTTTGGATACTACGGAATCGATTTTCAGAAAGAAAAACAGCACAAACTCATATGCTTAATATATTCCAATCTATACTTGTTACTCTGAATTAAAAGTATATATTTGTACAAGGGAACAAACAACTAAAAACAAAACAATAAAAATTAGTAATTATGTAGACAGCATTCACATCAGTATAATACTGGTTTCCAAGTCCTTGCTAACTGCCCTAAAAGTCCTTCCATCACAGTTATACTTCACGCTGCCTAGCACACTAACCCTCATCTCAGCCATTTTTGTTAATTTTTATAGCTGACTTTGTGTCACAATCTAAAATCAGATAAACTAAAGCATACTAAACCTATTGCTGAAATATAAATACACAGCCGACATCACACAGAGTTACATTGATATGTAAAGTAAACAAATTATTAAGCACAACCCACGACAGTATGATTTTCAGTTCTTAAGGACTTGCTGCTCTTGGACTGAAAACAAATTATTAGGCGAACTGCAAAGGATACCAATGTGTGTCGGTGATCACATACTTTCAGAGTACTCAGCACTTGTACTTCAGTACCATTTAGTCTTGAACGCTGATTTAAATTATGATTTTCTGACTTTTATCGCTGTAGTAAGTTTTGCACCCAAAAAATACCTGAGCAAAATTTACAAGCAAAACTTCCTAAAGAATACGAGTTCACCAAATTAGGCTCAACCACAACAAGCATAAATTAGAAATGCCCTAATCTACAAACTGGCATTACACAAAGAGAAATAAAGTCTATTTTTTGTCTGCTTGACCTTGGGATACTGTGGAAGATGATAGTAGCTCTCACTATTGCAGAGAACTCAGTTCTTCTACACCCATCATTACCAAGCAAGTTTAATCAAGCTTCTTCAGGCTTCAAGATCTTCACCCATTCAACACCCTCTTACAGGCACTGTGCACAATGTCATAGTCTCATCTGCTGCGGCCTTTGAGAGTTTAAACTTGGCCCATGACCCACAGAAATGGGTCAGTATAAGGGAATGATGAGGAAGTGTGCTTACTTGCTTGATCAATGCAAGGAGCAAGTATGAATGACAGCTTCCTTATGTTCTTCTTGCTTATGTTCTCAAGAGGACACTGAAAGAGTTAATACAAGAGAACACTCTAATTGAATGGAAACAGAAATTAAATTTTAAAGAAATAGTAGTATTCAAATAACGTTTTTCAGATCTAGGATGCAGAGTAACAAGACACAGGTGTGGCAATCCCTCCTGGCTCTAAAGACAGCAACGAGGTTTTTTTGTTGTCCTTCCAGGAATACATTTTCCACCTATTCAGAGCAGAACATTCACAACTGCTGTATTCCATAGATGAAATTGCACGACATGCATTTCCCCTTATTTCACCAGACCAGAAAAAGAACAGCACTACAGAGTTCAGAACTTAGAACAGCTCCGATGTGCACACAGGTTCCAGACATAATGACTTCTGATTTTGAGAAGTTACGTAAATCTAACAGTTGATGAGACTCTGATACTGCAAGAGAGAAAGAATCCAGAAAAAAAGCACCACTTGCACTTGACAGCAGAGGAGTCAGAGCTTTGCCTGCAGTAACAACTTAAAACACTGCCAAGGAATGCTCTGAGAAGGTGTCATACCTCAACCACCCACGCTGGGAGCCTGGTGCCAGTCCCTTGCATAGGTTTTGATTAGGGATAACTAGCTTTCTCCCAGACAACTCCCCAGCCCAGGCAGTGAGCTGGCACAAACTAGGAACTGCTCCCAGTAGGCAGTTTTGATGTGGCCACCCTGCTTTGGAGGGTAACGGTGCAGCCACATGGACATGGGCTGTTCCACTGCCAGCTGCAAAGCAGCCCCAGGCACATCTGATTCAGCAGTACAGCCACAGCTTTAGCCTGGCAGTGCTGAGGCCAGTAAAACGAACAGATCCCACCATGCTCCTCAAGAGGTGTATTCCCAAGTCAAATGCTTATTTCACACACCGCTTGGTGTGAAAACTTTGGCTTATAATCTTCCCTGTGATGTGCAGTTTTCGTATTGGGGTAGTTTTTTCCAAAAAATTATCACTCAGCCTGTGAAAACTCCAGGTGACAGAGTATACCATCTGAAAGGGACTAGATTTAGCAGTATGTTATCAAGCAGCATTAATATAAAGGTTAGCTTCAATGCAAACAGGTAAAAGCGTAAGTTCTTCAATTGCAAAATTCAAACTCCTTTCTCATAACCAAACACTCTGATACATGAATGACTTTACTTTCATACCTCAGTAAAAGAACTGAAAGGAACTTCACCTTCACCAAGTTTCCCATGCTTTCCAGGGAGGCAAGCAACAGCCAGAGATTGGTGGGCTCGTTGTTAATCCTTACTGTTTTCCTCCTTATTATAAGCAATATCACAACTTACTTCCAGTGTAAAAATTCCACTATTTTCTTTTTTCGATTTTCACTGTCTTCCCTTGTGTATCTAGTTTCCTGTTTTATCCATAAGCAATACTTACGAGTACTTTAGATAAAAATACTAAAACTGTGTTGTACTGAATACAACAAGAAGTTCTTTACTGGCTTAAGCAAGATACAAATCTGTCTCCTATGTGCAAATTTTCAATTCTACTTAGTAAAAAAAAAAAAAAAAAAAAAAAATTAGCACTATACTAAGTATTCCTCATGTTGAATCTGTTTAGTTTTATTAACAGAAGAAATACCTTTCAAGTATCAATGACGATACAGCAACAAAATTCCTCAAGTTTGTTCTCCATAGAGTATGCTACAAAAAGTACTCTGGGGTCTTTAAAAAGGCCAGTCATGGCATAACCGGGTATATGTTCAATAAGAGAGTCTGAAGGTTGAATGTATATTAATTTAGCAAAGTCAAAACGAAACAGCAAGAAAACTACAAAGCATTTAATAGACCCCCTCCAGACTTCTGCCTGTTCCAGCCAACAGAGTTACAAACTGCAACACATTGGAATGCTGAACATTTTGTCCAACATTCTTTTTACTAGAACTACAGCAGTTTTGAGACTGTTTTCCTGCCTTTTCAAGATGCTTCAAGATTTTATGAGCACTTGTCCTACTGCAAGTCATTGAGACTTGAGCTCCTAAATCATCCTCCTCATTATATCTTTTCAGCAATCCCAACACAGACAACTTTCCACCACCCAAAATCCTTCCATAATGAAACTTCCTGATTCTAAAAGATTTCTGGGTCATCCTCTATCCAACCAAAATACTGTTCTACACAAAACTTTGTAGAACAAATGCACCTTACTCTATGTACTGCCATTTTTCCAGCCCTGGGCTTTGATATATCAGCAGAAAACAAAACTTTAAGCAGCTCTATTGTAAAATATAAATATTTGTTTATAGCATAGGCTGTTCTTATCACAGAAAACAAAGACAATCCCAGCAAACTGCCATCAATGTTTCTAAATACAAAGGTCTATCACAACTATTTCTCGGGTCAAGCCTGGGAAACCAGCCTGCTGCTGAGGAGTGGCACCTGCTGGCAGAGAGGCACTTCGCAAGAATCAGATTCACCAACAGAATTAAAAAAAAAAAAGAAAGGGAAAAAAAAAAGGAAAATCAAGAGTTCACATGACTCACAAAGCAACTTTCACTTCCTTCTTGGCTAATAGGATGATGATGCTTAACAGTGGAACTCCTTTCACTTAAAGCAACGGTACTGAATTGCCCGTGAACTAGAACGACATTGCTAGCACTCTGTAAAACACTAAGGACACAACATACGTTTGTTGTATAATTAAAACTCTTCACATCACGAGTCTCTTCAATAAATTCTTACAATGACGCACTGTAATGGATGTTAAAAAGCTCACTACTCCACTGAGAAGAATGAACTGAATTTAAAAATTCAACAGGCCCAGAGAACAACTGAGTGTCGTGATTCACTAAACACATTAAAATTAATTCTAAGCATTAAATCAAATTTAAACTACTGTAAATGAAGTACATGCATAGAACAAGTCATTCCACCATGAACCAGAATATCCTTAATTTTAGAGCAACCTGCTTGTACCACAGCCTAAAGCCGACCTACGCTTTTGAAGAGGTGCTATTCTTACAAGACACAGCTTCTGTAACTGTGGCAGACTATAGTTTTTTGGCCTAATGTATCATGAGGGATGACTGACCAACAGTCATCCAACTACCATTATCCAATGTTGTTCTGAAATATCAACAATCACCCAGTTGTTAAGACTTTTAGAAGTCTAAGGGAGGCTGCTGTTGGTAAACACAAGCCGTGCTCACAGAAAAACTCAGCCCTGGTGTCCTTATCCCCTCATCAGGGACCTAGGAACAACACTTCCCAACTCCCTTCCAAGCTCCACTGCACTGGAAGCCCAAAGGTGGAAACCAGGGAGCTGCTGTGCACATCTCAGTGCAGAGCCCAAGACGCAGCCTAGGAACCATCACTGATGGGGGTACTAAGGGTATTTCCTTGGACAAGAAAGCTTGCTGGAAAACTTACATTACCGATCTAGATTACAAGATGAGAACTTGGAAAGAAAGACTACAATGGGGGAAAAGAAAGAACAAAATGCTATATGGTATGTCAAAAACACACACCCATTACGGAGTACAGGAAGAATCATAAAATCATAGAATCATATAAAGTATTTAAGCTGATAAACGTGCCAGAGAAAAGCCTGAAGAAGAGCAAACAAAGCAAACCTGTCATGCTAGACTGTTCAATCGAAGACTATGAGAAAAAAAGACTCCAAGAACTTTCCAACTGCAAGAAAATAGGAACTTTTACCATGCCAGAATCTGTTGAAAAATGTGGAGCATACGCTGACAGTTTATAAAGTTCCTACAATGTGCTTAGCATATTTTTGTCATTTTTTAAATATCGTGGAGGCTTGTGCAGAGTGTTTATCTCAGACTGGTTCTCCATTGCAGATTTGACCCATCTACAAATCCAATTGTGAAAAGCAAGTTGAGTAAAAATTATCACAAAATTAGATAAGCACTCTAAAAAAGGAAGTGAGAAAGAAGAATACATGAGATCTCTTAGCAGAGAGGTCAGACATATTTCTCCAATAGAGAAAAATAAAAACAGGCTTCAGAAAAGCAAACTTTGCCTTAGGCAACCACAAGTGCCAGGGCAACATTTCAAGGGACAACAGAGTGTTCTAAGTGCCCTTTTCCCTGTTAGGGTATTGAAAGGTAGCAGTACTAAACACTACAGACTACTGGGGTAGCTACTGCTGTGTTTCTCTACTGGGGCAGCAAACTACCCCAATGGAAATCAGAACCAGAAAGCATATTATGGAAACATTATGGCTACACCACGTGGAAACCACAGTAAAGTTTTTGAATTAAAAAGACTCAAAATCTGTAGCAGTACACTAATAAATCTCAATCTGTATTTTAATAAATAACAAGAATATAATCTGTGAAAATTCTAGTTTATATTTGAACATCCAATATCTTGCTTGTTTCTAGAACAGGAACAAGCCTTCTCAATTTAAGTATTTGCTGCCATCATGTGTACACTTCAAAAACTGCAATCTTAGGAAGGACACCTTTATCATAAGCAGCTGCCAGTCTAATATAATTCCTACCTCGATAAACATTGAATATACATAAAACAGCATACAACTCAATTCAATTCCAAAGACCACATGCTATGAAATCATACAAAACAAGAAAATGATTATGTGCTAAATAGTATTTGATGGTCCACAGAAAATAAACCAATTGCTCTGGTTCATTCCATGTAGATATCAACACTATCAACACAATTCAACGTTTTCAAGTCATGACACCTCCAAAGAAGCAATGGTGATGGGGACTTAAGTTCAAATGTTTCCAGCAGGCTCCTTCTGCTTCAGCTTCAGAAAAACTAAAAAAAAAAAAAAAAAAGTTGCAGTAACTTCATGATTTGTTCACTTCCTCTAAATTACGGAACAGTTCAGAAAGAAGAAAAAAATAGTACAAAATACCATAACACTAATTCATCAGTTTTACACCATTCAGGAATTCACATGGAGCAAGAGAATATGCATCTACATTTGAAGGATCAGTTGCTAGCCACGCTTGAAAAATGGGTGCATGATCAATTCAGAAGGTATTCTACAGATTCAGCTAGGTACTGCAGGGGAGGGGGAAAGTGCATCATGCTCTCTTTCACCTCAGTCTGCTCTGTCTCCCACTAATACCCCTGAAACAACAAAAAAGGCGCATATTAACCAGACTCAAGCTCCCCACATATCAGGAAGCCTAAAAACCAGCACTCAGTAACTCTACTTCTAGTATCACTTCTAACTTACTTTTAGTAGAACAGACATTTCATTACAAAGACCTCATGACCTTACTTAGAATCACAGAATCATAAAATAGTTAGGGTTGGAAAGGACCTTAAATCATCTAGTTCCAACGCCCCCGCCATGGGCAGGGACACCCCACACTAAACCATCTCACCCAAGGCTCTGTCCAGCCTGGCCTTGACCACCACCAGGGATGGAGCATTCACAACCTCCCTGGACAACCCATTCCAGTGCCTCACCACCCTCACAGGAAAGAATTTCTTCCTTGTATTCAATCTAAACTTCTCCTGTTTAAGTTTTAACCCATTACCCCTTGTCCTATCACTACAGTCCCTAATGAAGAGTCCCTCCCCAGCATCCCTACAGGCCCCCTTCAGATACTGGAAGGCTGCTATGAGGTCTCCATGCAGCCTTCTCTTTTCCAGGATGAACAGCCCCAACTTTCTCAGCCTGTCCTCATATGGGAGGTGCTCCAGTCCCCTGATCACCCTCATGGCCCTCCTCTGGACTTGTTCTAACAGTTCCATGTCCTTTTTATGTTGAGGACACCAGAACTGCACACAATACTCCAGGTGAGGACTCACAAGAGCAGAGTAGAGGGGCAGGATCACCTCCTTCGACCTGCTGGTCACGCTCCTTTTGATGCAGCCCAGGATACGGTTGGCTTTCTGGGCTGCAAGCGCACACTGAAGCCGGCTCATGTTCATCTTCTCATCGACCAACACCCCCAAGTCCTCCTCCGCAGGGCTGCTCAGAATCTCTTCTCTGCCCAACCTGTAGCTGTGCTTGGGATTGCTCTGACCCAGGTGTAGCACCTTGCACTTGGCATGGTTAAACTTCATGAGGCTGGCATCAGCCCACCTCACAAGCGTGTCAAGGTCCCTCTGGATGGCATCCCTTCCCTCCAGCGTATCAACCAAACCACACAGCTTGGTGTCATCAGCAAACTTGCTGAGGGCGCACTCAATCCCACTGTCCATGTCAGCAACAAAGATGTTAAACAAGACCAGTCCCAACACTGATCCCTGAGGGACACCACTCGTTACTGGTCTCCAGCTGGACACTGAGCTATTGACCACATCTTCGCATGTGGCCATCCAGCCACTTCTTTATCCACCGAGTGGTCCATCCATTAAATTGATGTCTCTCCAATTTAGAGACAAGGATGTCATGCAGGACAGTGTCGAACGCTTTGCACAAGTCCAGGTAGATGACATCAACTGCTCTACCCCTGTCCATCAGTTCCGTAGCCACATCATAGGAGGCCACCAAATTGGTCAGGCAGGATTCCCCCTTAGTGAAGCCATGCTGGCTGCCACCAAGCACCTTGTTGTTTTTCATGTGCCTTAGCATGAAATCCAGGACAATCTGCTCCAAGATTTTGCCAGGCACAGAGGTGAGACTGATGGGTCTGTAGTTCCCCGTGTCATCCATTTTCCCCTTCCTGAAAATGGGGGTTATATTTCCCTTTTCCCAGTTGTCAGGAACTTCACCTGACTGCCATGATTTTTCAAATATGATGGACAGTGGCTTAGCAACTTCATTTGCCAGCTCCTTCAGGACCCGCAGACAGATTTCATCAGGTTTGGGTTTATTTTTTCATTTTTTGTTTTTTTTTCCCATTTAGTTCTGGATATGACCTTTAAAAACCTGCAAATTCAAACAATTTATTGGGCACTATGATTAAATATGTTTTCCAAATGGTATGTTTCAAAAAATGCAGTTTGAAATTAGCAGCTCTGAGACACAGAAACAAAAATATTTCATCAGAAATTTTCCGCTCAGTGTATTCCCAGGAGTGAGCCACATAAACAGCAGGGTATCAATTAGAAGATGTATGGCTGTAGATACAGTCAGCTTCAGTGTTAAAACAGCCAAAGCTCTTGGCATCACAAAAGGCAGCTAGAACAACATGAAGATTGATAAAGATGCTACTAAACACAAGATTATGAAGTCAAAATCTCAGGTTCAGCTTCTTGCAAAAAAACATATTAACTGACTTTAGTATTATATTAACATTATAAAAAAGCCTTCATCCATTAATGCATCCAAACATATCAATGTGTCCTAAGTAGAGCTCCATATTCAGATATGATACACAGATTCAAGGCTTCAAAAATCTTCCAGTTCGCATGTTACTTGTGCAGACACTTCACATTATGCTGCAAGAACAAAAAAAAAAGAAATTAATTCTGAAACAATTATTCAGA